TGCGGAGCACAGGCTCCGGACGCGCAGGCTCAGCAGCCGTGGCTCACGGGCCCAGCCGCTCCGCGGCATGTGGGATCTTCCCGGACCGGGGCACGAGCCCGCGTCCCCTGCATTGGCAGGTGGACTCTCAACCACTGCGCCACCAGGGAAGCCCCCCTCTGCCTTTTGATGCAGCTCAATCCCAACTTGCCCAGACTGAAGGCCAGGGCAGAACAGCCCTTCCCAGAGAGAGGGCTGCTGTTTTCCCAAAGGGTTGTCGTCATCCAGGGACGGGGCCCTCTTTACAGCTTCCTGGCCAATCTCCCCAGGAGGAAATGAGGATCCTCCACTGCCATTGCTGGGAGGTGCTGAGATCGGCAGAGGCCACGCAAGCAGGTCACTGTCCCCCTCCTTCTCTTCACTCACCCTGTAACTCCTCCTCCCAGCCAGCCTGTGCCATCTGGGAGCAGCAAGGGTGGGGCTGAAAGATACTGTCCCCAGCACCTGGCTGGTTCCATGACCATAAAATCAAGGCTTCCATTTCACTTCAGAGGAGACTCTGATTCCTGGGGGCCCACGGCACCCCAAGTGGGGCAGAAAGTTCTGGACCCTGAAACCTTCAGAGGACAAAGAGGAAGGCCCAGGAGGTATCTCCAGGGCCCAGGACAATCCACAAAAGCTCAGGCTTGAGGGCCAGCATCTGGGGCCCCTCTGGCCTCTGTGAGGCCTCCATTCTCTCCGCCCCCTGGTCTGTGAGAGGGCCCTCCCGGAAGCTGCCCTGAGCATTTCCACAACCCCCAGCCCTTCCACCTGGCCTCCTCCCGCTGCCCGATTCCCCATGGCTTCCATTTCCATCTCCCTTCTGCCCATGGAGCATGCTCTGGGCAGCCCCACTGGAATCTGTGGATGTCTCACCCCCTCCTCCGTCCCATTTCCTCCTCAACTGTATCATTTGCATGATTTTCCTGCCAGAATTTTGGGAGTAAAGCCCATTTCTCTTGCCCTACTACTGGTGGCAGGCAGCCTAGTGGCTCAGAGTATACAGGCCCTGGAATGACTTCCTGGGTTCCAATCCCAGCTGTGCCTGACGACTAGCTGTGTGACTTCTGCACAAACAGGTTAACCCCAGGGCTTCCCTGGTGGCGCAGTGGTTGAGAGTCTGCCTGCCGATGCAGGGGACACGGGTTCGTGCCCCGGTCCGGGAGGATCCCACATGACGCGGAGCGGCTGGGCCCGTGAACCATGGCCGCTGAGCCTGAGCGTCCGGAGCCTGTGCTCCGCAACGGGAGAGACCACAACAGTGAGAGGCCCGCATACCGCAAAAAACAAAAACAAAAACAGGTTAACCCCTTGATGCCTCAGTTTCCCTGTCTGTAAAACAGGGGGAAAAAGAGCACCTTCCTCCCAGGCTCCCTGTGAGAATGAGAAAAATTAACCCAGATGTTGCCCTCCAAATTGTGCATGGGACCTCATCAGTGCTCAATCATAAATCAGTGTGTGCTTTGTTTTCTTGTGTTTTGTTTTCTCTGCACTTGCACCTCTGAAGTAGGGTTCTTCAGGGACAAACCCCAAAACCGACGTGGCTCTCCCTCAAGGTCCTCGTCACTTCCACTTCCCGGCTTGGTTTCCTTGGGATCCCTTTCCTGTTCACTTGATGTGTGTGGGGAGTGTGGGAGCAGAGGGGAGCTGGGCATGCCCTTTTGACCTTGGAGGAAAAAGTAGCAGCCCAGGCACAGGATTGAGGACCAGAAAGCAGACCTGAGGGGTCAGCTCAGCTCTTGGGTTTCAAAGCAGCCAGGCCCCATCCCACAGCAGGAGACACTGAGAAAAGGATAGAAAGTTTCTGAGGGGAAACTGGCGTTATCTGGAAAACAGCTCTCCTGCTCCGCCTCCTCCGTATGTTCCCGCAGTCCTCTCTCTGGGCAGAAATGTCTGGAAAACAATGACTCATGTGCTGGACAGCCGCTGGGGCCACCAAGGCCACGCCCCTGGCCTCCTGAGCTGCCCCAGGAAGGACCCAGCATCCCCAGAGACCAAGCTGGGGCCGAGACTTCCCTGAAGCAGCTTCCTGCAGACGCTTTTTATGTCTGTTTTCCGAGCCTCACTAGAGCAGAAGAGCCAGGGAGCTCTTCTCCCTGGACGCACAGGTTTCTTAGGTAGTAGCATGGCCTTCAGATGCGGCTGGATCCAGAGCTTCTGATGGTGTCCTCAAGACTCTGCTTCTCCCTATCTCTTGGCTCCACCTTCCTCTGTTTCCCTCTGTTTTGGCATCATTTACAGACTCCATGTGGGGACCAGGCTGCTGCCAGTAGCTCCAGAATTACATCAGCCATGCTGCCTGTAGTTCTGGAGTTTAGGGAAAAAAAAAAAAAAGAATTTCAGGAATCAATTCCCAGTGGCTCTGATTGCATCACACATGCTGTTCCCTGAATCGGCCCCTGTGACCAGGGACGTGTGGTGTTTTGATTGGTCAGGCCTGAGGTCATTAGGGGTGTCGTCTTGAGGACCAAGAGTTGAGAGTGGATTGGTTGCCCAGCACAATCAGGGTGGCATTGTAGGAGAAGGAGGAGTGGACGCTGGGCAGGCAGGTACAAGTGATGCTCACCCTGGGCCGAAAAAGGTGCCGCGGGAACCTTGGGGAGGGAGCACATTACTCCACCTGTGGGAGTCTGTGAAGGCTTCCCAAGGGAAAGGATATTTGGAGCCGGGCGTTGAAGGATGAGTAGGAGTTTGCCAAGTAGCAGCATATAGGGGCGATGCTGAGCTTGTGATCCAGTGCATGTGAAGTAGGCATGGGCAGGAAACTTGATCGTTACTCATGTGTCCCATCTCTGTGTCTAGCGATGGTCCATTCTGCAGGATCTGCCATGAGGGAGCGAATGGGGAGAGCTTGCTGTCTCCCTGTGGTTGCACTGGCACACTGGGCGCCGTGCACAAGAGCTGTCTGGAGAGATGGCTTTCCTCATCCAATACCAGCTACTGCGAGCTGTGCCACACGGAGTTTGCAGTGGAGAAGAGGCCCCGGCCCCTCACAGAGGTATGCTTGGGAGCCTGAGGTTGGAGTGGGCAGAGGGGAAGAAGGTAGGCGTGGGGCCGGAGGAGGGAATTGCCCTGGAGGATCCCGGGGGGCTGGGGAAGCAGCTTCTCTATAGGGAGGAACCTCTCTCCTGTCCCCAGGGTCAGTTCTGCTGATGCGGGTGGGGAACCGGGCCTGAGGTTCCAGACCTGACGGACCCTGTGCCTTCTCCCTGCTTTGGTCACTTGAGGTGACCCTAAGGCTTAGACCTGAGGAATGAGAAGGGAGTGCCCAACCTGAGGAAGGGCAGTCCTGGCGGAGGGCACGGCAAGTGCAAAGGCTCTGAGGCCAGGAGAAGCGTGGTGTTTTTGGCAAAGCCCACGTGGCTGGAGGCAGCTACTTAAGGAGGAGGGGCAGTGGCCTCACCTGCGGGCTCTGTGGGCCAAGCCTGGGGGCTTAGACTGTGGCCTGAGCGTCATGGGTGGGGGTTGAGATGGGATAGTCCCAGGCTTGACGGGAGCCACATGGCTTTCCAGAGCATTGCTGGCTGCCCGGGTGCCCTCCAGGCTCCTCTCTGCCCAGCTTGGCTTGGCGTGGGGCAGCTGAGCGCTGCAGGGGGCTGTCACTGTGCCAAGGTGTGGGCTCCTGGAAAGGCCCCTGGCCCACCCGGGACATTGGGCTCTTAGGAGAACAGTTGGAGGGAGAGCCAGCCTGCCTGCACCGCTCCCCCCCACACACTCCCACCCCAGTGCCTTTGCACATGCTCTTTCTGCAGCCTCGAGCGCTGTCCCCCCCCCCCCTTCTTCACCAGGCCCCTTCTGCTCATTTGGTTCTCTGTGGTGTCACCTCCTCGGCAGAGCCTTCCCCATCCGGATCATTCACCCTGTTTCATGCCTCCCCCGACTAGCATGGGAGCTATGGGCAGGGACTTTTTCCTGCCATCAACTGTGGCAGGCAGTGTAGCATAGAGGCCAAGACGCACAGGTCCTGGGACAAGACTTCCTGGGCTCCAGTCCTGGCTTTGTGGACGACTAGCCATATGAGTTTGCACAAATGGGTCAGCCTCTTCGTGCCCTCAGTTTCCCATATCTATAAAACAAGGTCATGGGACTTCCCTGGCGGTCCAGTGGTTAAGACTCTGTGCTTCCACTGCAGGGGGCATGTGTCTGATCCCCTGCGCGGCCAAAAAAACCAAAGAACCAAAAAACAAAAAACAGGGGCAGAAGTGCCCCGCACCTATCCGGGCCTGGCCTGTCATCGTCATCGCCTCCATAAATATTTGAAAGAAGGAATGAACGCAGGGAGGTGCCAGGCAGGAGGCTGGTCCTGCAGGGCCCAGTGATGAAGATGGGCGTCAGCAGAGGGGGCGGAGGGCCTGGAGGTCCCGCACCCCATCCCCCCACAGAGGCTCGAGGGAGGGCAGTGCATGACGGTCTCTCTCAGAGGCTACCCCTCCCTTCTTCCCCGCAGTGGCTGAAGGACCCAGGGCCTCGGACAGAGAAGAGGACACTGTGCTGCGACATGGTGTGCTTCCTGTTCATCACGCCTCTGGCCGCGATCTCAGGCTGGCTGTGCCTGCGTGGGGCCCAGGACCACCTCAGGCTCCACAGCCGGCTGGAGGCGGTGGGGCTCATCGCCCTCACCATCGCCCTCTTTACCATCTATGTCCTCTGGACTCTGGTGAGTGGCTGCCCGCCAGAGAGCAGGCATCTGCGAGCAGTCAGGCCCGGAGTTTGGTCAGTGGCTTGGAGTGGGTGGGGGGCGCCCTGCCTGTGGCTGGTTTGTGGCTGGCCCTCGGGTGGAAGCAATTACCAGCATCTCATGGAGCTCCAGATTCCAAGCTGGTCCAAGGTCCAGGGAGCCAGGTGTGAACCTTCTGCCCCGCCAAGGGTAGGATACAAGGGCACGTGATCACCTCTGCTGAGTGCAGGCCCCACCAGCCACGAGCTCCACCAAGACTGTATTGGCCGTTGAAGGGGGGGTGAGGGGGTGGGGGGGGGAGAGGCAGAGGGACACCAAAAGGCTGCGGAAGAAAGAGCAGGAGAAAGAGAGACAGAGAGAGAGGACCATCAAGAGACAGAGAAGGGGCTTCCCTGGCGGTCCAGTGGTTAAGACTCCACGCTTGCACTGCAGGGGGCGTGGGTTGATCCATGGTCCTAAGATCGATCGCCCCACATGGGGGTGGGGTGGGTGCTGAGAGAGAAAACGACTGGGGTTGAGAGAGGGAGTGTAGTGGGGTGTTGTCCCCGGCTTCTGGCAGGCATGAGAACCCTCACTCAGAGAGGAAAGGTCCCCAGAGTCTGGCCCCTCAGACAGAACCACTGGCCTCCAGCTGTGGGGCACACCCTCCTCAATAATTGTTTCCCAGCACATCCACCAAGCAGGTTTTTTTTTTTTTTTTTTTTTTGGGGTAGCGGGCCTCTCACTGTTGTGGCCTCTCCCGTTGCGGAGCACAGGCTCCGGACGTGCAGGCTCAGCAGCCATGGCTCACGGGCCCAGCCGCTCCGCGGCATGCGGGATCTTCCCGGACCAGGGCACGAACCCGTGTCTTCTGCATCGGCAGGCGGACTCTCAACCACTGCGCCACCAGGGAAGCCCCAAGCAGGTTTTTTAATGCAAGTAGGATGAAATCATAGGTCCTGCTTTGCAGTCTGCTTGTTTTCACTTTGCTAATGTCCTTTTTTAAAAAAAAAAAAGGCAGCCACCAAACAATCCTTGATTGTATGGGCGTGCTGTATTTTTTTAACTAATCCCTTTTGATGGACACTGGGATCATTTCCAATTTTTTTTTTTGTTGTTGGTTTGTGTTTTTGTTTCCCTTCTTTTTTTTGCCGTTATAAACTGTGCTTTGGGTGCCACCTGTGCAAATGTTTCTTGGAACTGGCTTGGTTAAAGAGTATGAACCATTGACATTTATTGGAAAAATATGTTGTTGTTGTTGTTTAATAGATTTGACTCATTACAGCAGTTTGAGGTTAAACAGCAAAATGGAGCAGAAAGTACAGAGTTCCTCAGAATCCTCCCGCATACCTGCAGAGCCTCCTCCACGATCAGCAGGGCACCAGAGCAGTGCATTTATCACAGTCGATGAACCAACACTGACACATCATCACCCCCAGCCCATAGTTTACATTAGGGGTTCACTCTTGGTGTTGAACAATTTGTGGGTTTAGACAAATGTATAATGACATGTATCCACCATTAGAGTGTCATACAGAGTATTTTCACTGCCCTAAAACCCCTCTGTGATCCTCCGGTTCATCTCTCCCTCCCCCAAGCCCTGGTAACCACTGCTTCTCTTACTGTCTCCATAGTTTTGCCTTTTCCAGAATGTCCTATAGTTGGAATCATGCAGTCTATAGCCTTTTCAGTGAAAGCACCGAGTCCTAACCACTGGACCACCAGGGAATTCCTTGTAGCCTTTTCAGATCTGCTTCTTTCACTTAGTGGAGGAACATTTAAGGTTCCTCCATGTCTTTTCATGACTTGATAGCTCATTTCTTTTTGGTGCCAAATAACATTCCATCGTCTGGATGTCCCACAGTTTATTTATCCACTTACCCACCGAAGGACATCTTAGTTGCTTCCACGTTTTGGCAGTTATATGATCCATTGACGTTTGGCCCCTTCCAAGAGGCTTTATCACTTCACTACCACCCTCTGAGAGACAGAAAGGGACCCCCCCACCCTTCCACACACACACACACACACACACACACACACACACACACACACACACACCCCCTCCCCCTCTCTCTCTCAGGAAAAATTCACCTTTGCAGGGCCCTCAGTGCTGGTGGGGAGGTTCCCCAGGTGAGGGAATGGGTGTGTGTGCACCGTCTGTGTGAGAAATGCCCGGATGCTGCCCCTGCTTCTGCAAGCAGGATCCTGGTCCTGGTTAGGTCAAGGCAGATGCCTCAGGGGCCCGCTTTTCCTCTCTTGGGGGTAGAGTCTGTATGGCCAGAGGCTGGCCCTCCCACTCATCTCCACCCTGCCCTGCAGGTCTCATTCCGCTACCATTGCCAGCTGTACTCCGAGTGGAGAAAGACCAACCAGAAAGTGCGCCTGAAGATCCGGGCCACCGATGGCCCCGAGGGCACCCGGCACTGCCCTCTAGCAGCTGGGCTCCCGAAGAAGGTGGCAGAGGAGACACCTGTGTGAAGGCCGGGCTGGCAGGGCCAGAGGCAGCTGGCGATGCCCTGGCGTTTGGAAGGACAGAAACTGCCGGACCCTTCCGCACGGCTGGAGTGCTTCTTAGGCCAAGAGATGCCAAACTGGAGCTGATTCCGTGATTCCTGTGTGAAGCTATTCTCAGATCGTTTTGCATACTCTTACACACGAGGAGAACAGACGGACGTGGTCCCGAGCTTCGGATGGAGCAGGCACCCTGATCTCATTCTGAGGTCTACCTGGCCCCTCCTGGGCCAGCAGCCATGGCCAGAGACAAGTCGCGGGCACCCATTGAGCTGGGAGGTTCCGCAAGCTTCTCGCACTTTTCTGCACCTGGCAGGCTCACATTGCCGGCACCCTCAACTTTATAAAGTTGCACCGTGTTTCAAAACCCACCCCCAATGAATAAAAGGAGCCCTTGCTGGACAAAACGGACCTGTCAGTCACGTTTCTGAGGCCTCAGAGTGAGGGCATGGGGGCCTAGGGGAGTCAGGACCACACAGAGGTAACAGTGGCAACAACCAATGCTCTCGGCTGGTTTGAGGGATCACAGGGCTAGAAGCAAAGTGCGAGTTTGCAAGTGAAGAGCAGGTAGCAGGGCTATGTATTAAATGATTGAAAATAAATATACATAAGAATAGTGTCTACTTGCTGTGTGTCTCCCGTGGGTCAGATACCCCGCTGGGCCCTTTACACTCATTAACAAGTAATGTCCACACTTACCAAGGGGCACCCTGAACAGGGCCCAGTACTTTTTTTTTTTTGGCCACATCACGCAGCATGTGAGATCTTAACTCCTCAACCAGGGATCGAACCCTCGCCCCCTGCATTGGAAGCACAGAGTCTTAACCACTGGACTGCCAGGGAAGTCCTGAGTTGTAGTTTGGTGCTAGGCTGTCTTTCATGACCCTTAACCCTAGCAGAGAGAGAGCAAGTCTTAGACTCAGATCCTTTGGCAGAGCGTATGACTGAATTTACACTTTAATAGCATCATTCTCTTATTTATTTTTTACAATAAGCTATTTATAGCAAGGTTTCAATGTGGGCTGTGAGGTAAAGCAACATTTTAACATCCGTTTTTTCTTTGACTGCACTGGGAGGCTTGCAGGATCTTAGTTCCCCAACTAGGGATGGAACCCAGGCCTTGGCAGTGAGAGGGCAGAGTCCTAACCACCAGACCGTCAGCGAATTCCCAAAACATCCTTCTTTTAAAGAAAATAAAGTGTCAGTTACAGGAAAGAAGAGTGAAGGAATTAATAGTGCAGGCAATGGCTAAACCCAGGAATCTGGGCAGTGTTGGATTAAATCAACCTGCCTATAGAGGAGCACAGCCTAGTAGAAAGTTTGTCTCCTCAGCCTGGGCTTGACTTGTGGCTCATCTCCAGTCACACCCACTGCCGGAGAAGGGATCAGAGAAGAGGTGGCTTCTTGTCCCCGCTGCCTTGTATTCGGCCTCCTCTCCATGATTCTGACAGACTGCTGTGGCCTCTTCCGCCATTTCTGAGCCCTGTTGGGCAAGTGAATTCAGAGATTCATGAGGCTTCTTCTGGTCCAGGGGCCCCTCTGGTCTAGAGAGTTCTAAGGGGGAGGGGGGAACTTCCCTGGCTGTCCAGGCCAAAAAAAAAAAAAAAAGAGAGAGAGAGAGAGAGGTCTAACAGGGAGGAAAGGAAACTCAGATTCCAGTGGGACCATGTGAAGAGGGTTGGTGTGCACAGGGGATTTTAGTAGATCAGAGATTTCTGGGGAGAGGGGGTGGGGTGGGTGGGTGGGTGGAGATGGGCAAGAGAAAGGAGTTTTGAGACAGGTAAGTCTGGGAAGTTCTTGAGAATGGGAGCTGGAAAGAGAGGGTGGGGCCTATCCTCTGCCTTAGCCTGGGCTATTGGTCTTATTCTCCAGGCCTGGAGTTCTCAACCTGGCCGGATTAAGTATTTAATTTGGAGGAAGGTGTGGCAGGTGAGATAGTTCCTCAGAGCCTGATGAAATGTAATTATTTTGTGAGATAGGGGGAAAAAAACCCGTTTTTCCCATTGTGAGCTTAGAGTTTGGTGGTTAGATGGGAACTTCTTTAAGATCCAGTGAAGCATTTATTTCAAAGTACCAGAGACAACAGAGACCAGGGGTGGCTGCTGGGTAAGGGAGCCTGAGGCCTCTGAATGCTGGGGGCTCTGGCCTCTTCCCAGGCCACTGTGGCTGTCCCAGGACATGGTCCTGTAACAGCCCTGAAAACCCATTTGGGGACAGGGCCAAGCTCTCAGGGCAGATGGACCCACGGTCAGGCAGGAAGGAGACTCCATCGTGTGATTTCTATCACCATGTTTGGCTTCTTGCTTGTTCATTCACTCAAGAAACATTCATAAGCACATTCAAAATCTCCAGCTAGGCGTCTGGTTGTTGACGGCTGTTAGTGAGAGAGACTTAGGCCATGGGCTCTGCACCCAGGACTTCTCAGAGTGGTGGGGAGACAGGTCGGATAGAGCCCAGATATTCTTGGTGCAGGATGATACTTGCTTAGAGAGAGAGCATTTTACACATTTGTCCTACGGCCTGGTCCTTCAGTGTCCTACCCTTGCCTGCCTAACTCCTTTCCAGCCTAGTAAACAGAACTTTCGCTGCCCTTCGGCCCTAGTTCTGATTACAGAAAGCTGGGAGTGACGAGGTCCACGTGTGGGGGGTGGAGAGATGGTGCCTCTACCAGACCTGGAGAGCGGATGGAGTATCCAGTAGGCGCCAAACGCAAGTTAGTTGCGAGAATGAATTAGTAACAGCTGACGGTGCGCGCCTGCGCGCGGCGGGGGCGTGGCCCGGAACAGAGGCGTGGCCCAGGGCTGGAGGGAAGGAGGCGGGAGGCCGCCGCGGCGCGAGCAGACGTTACTGGTCGAGCTGGATCACGTGAGCACGCAGGCGCAGCACCGCGCATCCCGCTCGCTCACACAAAGCCCAGACGCGGAGAAAATGGCGGCAGGGGTCGAAGCGGCAGCCGAGGTGGCGGCGACGGAGCCCAAAATGGAGGAGGAGAGCGGCGCGCCCGGCGTGCCGAGTGGCAACGGAGCTCCGGGCCCGAAAGGGTGAGTACTCCACGGCTCCTTGTCTCTGGCCGGGCACTTCTGCGGTGGCCGGCGGCGGCTCCGTTAGGTCTTGGCGGCTTCCCACCGGCGCGGCCTCGGCCGGGCTTTCCCCTCAGGGTCTGCCGAGGGTGGGGGCCGCCCAGGCTGTGAGGGATGAAGCCGGGCGGCCCCGGGAGCGCCTCTAGGACAGCTCCTTCTTCCCAGGCCTTGGGCCTCAACTCCCCCGGTTCCTCCCGGCCGGGTCCGACCCCGATTCCGACGCAAAGGCCTCAGGCCGGGCCTCTGCGCGCGGGGATAATGGCGCGCGGGCCACGGAGCCGATGAGCCCCGGAGTCCGCGACCCGCTCGCCTGTCGGGTGACCTTGGTTGGGCGCTTGGTTTCACGTCTCTCCGCAATGGCCCGGGGCCTCAGTTTCCCGATCGGTAAAGTGGGGGGAGGGGAGGGATTGCGCACGCAGGATCTCGTCCGTTGTCGGTCCGGGTAAACGGTAGCAGAGGCGGGTGGGTATCGGGAAGGACCGCGAGGCCGGCTCCGGGAGCCTCCTCCCCCCCTCCCGTCCCCCAGCGCGCGCCGTTCCCCTCCTCTCCAGCCCCCCCTCCCCCGGCCCCGCGATAAGTGCCTCGGTCGGAACCGCCCCTCGCTCCACGCTCTGGCCACGGCTCAAGTCCCTTACCTCCTCCCCAGGTGCGCAGTAGGTATTTGTGGAGAGATCGGACCTGCTGCTCAATGTTCAGCCGTAGAAACAAACTGTAGGGGGAAAAAGAAAAAAGGAAACATTGTCTTCTGTGTTCCAGGGGAAGATTTTTCCATCATCAGGCGGGTTCACCCATTTCCAAGCTCCGTCACCCTTTCAGTCCTGTTTAGAGGTCTGTCTCGGGTCCTCGGTTTTTAAAGTTTCCGTAAAGCTTTAAAGCATCACCTTATGTCCCCTTGAACCCCATTCATTCTGATTACAGGCGCCTGAAAGATGGAGAGACGTTTAGCCTCCTCCCGGCAGCTGTCGGGGGAGGACAGGGAAAGGCTGGGCACACATTTGATTTACCACATACGTTTTTAAAAAATTGTGGTAACATACGTAAGGCGAAATTTACAGTTTTAGCCATTTTTAAGTGTACGATTCAGTGGCATCAACTGCTTTTGCGGTGCTGTGCAGCCATCACCAGTATCCACATCCAGAACTTTTTCATCATCCCAATTAAACAGTAACTTCCTCTTCTCCCCCTCTCCTGGTTACCTGTGTTATACGTTCTGTCTGCTATGAATTTGCCTTCCCACAAATTTTTAATGTGCATAATTGGAGTTCATGGGGATTAAAAGTGAATGTAGTTAAAGCGCTTTGTTAATGAACACTCACTAAATACTAGCTATGTTGTTGAACTTTCTCTCCTTAGGTGGGGAGGAACAAAATACCGTGGTTACTGGTCCTTGGAAATCAAGAGAAAGGCATCTTAGAAGTATTCCCAACCCTTTATTATTGAAAACTCTGGGAAGGGATGTGTTCATTTAAACTCTTTTCATTATCTATTTCCTTTATTTCTTTATCACAGGATGGAGTGCTGCTAGAATCGTGCTAGGTGAGAAGTTATTAGTTATAGATTATAGCATCTGGGGTACATTTTTCAAATTTCCCATTTTCCACTGTCCATTTCCAAGTAGTCATTTTGTGACTGATTCCAGATAGTCATTTTGTGACGAATGTTAACACATGGGCTATTAGAAAGAATCTGAAGGTTTCAGGGCTAAAAGAGCCCTTGTCGGAAAGAACCTCAAAGTCTAGGACTGCTTAGTAGAGACTATTTTAGGAAGTTACGAACACTTAGATCTGTTTGGGAGGGCCATTGGAAAAGTTTGTGTTCGTGGTGTTATTTTTGCATCACAAAGTTTTTAAAGCAGAGTTCTTTAGAAAACAAAGCCCCCCCCCCCCCCGCCAAGGAATATTTTGGTAGTAAAGCAATTGTTCTGTGGTATTAGTAAAAGGAGTTACTAGGTAGGGAGCATGGAGGGGCTCCCCCCCAACCTAACCTGCTGGGAGCAGTTAAGAGGTGTTCCTCTAGAGGGAGGAGGATGAAAGATGATGGAGAGAGGCACAGGAGAGTGTCCAAAGACTAGGGATTTTTCTATATTTATATATTTGATACGTATTTATAAAGAACCCAAACTGCTGGAGCACTGGGGGCCAGCTGGTGGGCAATGAATTCCAGACTAAGGAATTTAGATTTTTATCTTGAAAGCCTTTGAGGGATGGGAAATGAGTGAGACTGGATTCTTCTTACCTTTGTCTCCACCAGGAGTGGAGTGTGCTGTAAACCAAAAAGGCAGTGAGATAGCAAGCTTGATAAGGACCCCAGATAGGACAGCTTGTTTTGCAGTTCCTTTTCTTCTGGGTATAAGAGGAGGATTTGTTTTATTTTGATGAGAAATCTGTCGCATCTAAAGACAGTCAAGGGACTTCCCTGGTGGTGCAATGGTTAAGAAGCCGCCTGCCAGTGCAGAGGACACGGGTTCAATCCCTGGTCTGGGAAGATCCCACATGCCGCGGAGCAACTAAGCCTGTGCGCCACAACTACTGAGCCTGCGCTCTAGAGCCTGCAAGCCGCCACTGCTACTGAAGCCCGCGTGCCTAGAACCCGTGCTCTGCAACAAGAGAAGCCTCCACAGTGAGAAGCGCACTCACCACAACTAGAAAAGCTTGCATGCAGCAACAAGACCTAACACAGCCAAAAATAAATTATTAAAATTAAATAAATTAAAAAAAATAAGTTCAGAAGTTAAAAAACATAGTCAGGATTCAGAGTTAGAGTATATTAGTCAGGAAGTAAAAGCGCTCATTTTAGAGGACTATGTAGGCTTAGGTTTGATTTTTTTTTTTTTTTAATTTAAAATTTTATTTTTTAAAGATAAAGGTTGCACCGTCCATCTAAAATCAGTGACTTAACCTACTCCACTTTCAGAGTAACCTTGTGGCTGAATCAGAAAACTGAGAGATAGGCTATTTTAAAAATAAAACTTTGTATTTAGTATAAATTCCTGGGCATGTAATGTTAGTGTTGACACCGTTTTACAGTCAAGAAAAACTTTTTTTTTTTTTTTTTTTTTTTTTAAACAATTGAAAAAACCCAGGTTAAGGAAATTGACCCAAAGAATCTGGGGGAGGCCATCTTGACTCCAGGTCCTTTGCTGCTTCCACACACCACCCTGGTAACCTCTCACTGAACACAGTTATTTGAAGTGTTTTTTGTTTTTCTTTTAACCAGATTCTCTGTGCTTTGCAATGATTTGAGTGTTTGCTGTACTTTAAAAAGTGATTGTATACTTGATAATAATTTTGAGGCACATTTGATTGTGAGCTCAAGATTAGAATAGGGGCTGTAGGTTGTTTGAATGCATGCTGCCAGCTCTTTGCTTTCACTTTGCTCTTTGATTTTACTCATGGCTAGGCAGGGAGATGCTAGTGTGCAAAGATTAGGTTGCTTGTTTCATTTAGGAGTTCGCAGATGGTCTCTCCCATTACCATGTTTTGCAGTCATAGAGGTGAAAGCTGAATTGCTCCTTTGGTAGTCTGTAATGAGTACAGTGCCTAGGTTTCCTCAGCCAGGCCCCAGTGGGCTTATTTTAAAGCCTAATCAGTATGTGCAATGGTAGAAGGCAAGGAGTGAATCATTCTCCAGAAAATTTTTGGTACAAAAATATATCATTGCCACAGTTAGTGTGCCAAGTCTCTCCTTTAAACTTGTCAGTGTGGGTAAGTAACCTCCTTTCACAGATGAAGGAACTGAGGCCTGACAAAGAGTTGGTGACATTGGGGTTCAGACCTAGATAACCCTACCTCTTAGTCACCCGTAGTACTGCTCCCTTAGGTATTGTGCTTAACATTTACCAACCTGCTTTTTGTTAGGCTGATTGTTGATTCTCACGGCATCCCTGTGAGCTACATGGATACAGGTTATGCTGGTTTTGCTGGTAAAGAACCAGAGACGGAAAGAGCTTAAGTCACGTGGGTAGTGAAGAGGTGGACCTGGAGCTAGAATAGTGCTGTGAATAGTGCTCTCCACATCTTAAATGCATTAGGGGAAACTCAGGATTGAAAGGATTTCTGTGAAGAGTCATTTTACATAAGGGATGGTTCTCAAGGGAATATGGGGGGTGGAGGAGTCTTTTCCCTCAGGAGATGTGGTCAGGATTTCAAGGTATCGGGGTTGCTGTTTCAAACTATACTTGATTGAAAAACTGTGAGAATAATGAGAGTATTATACGTGAGAGGGAATGCCATGGAGGCGTAAGGGAGGGTAGGGATTCACTGTTTTACATGGTGAATGTGGCAGCCCTTGGTGAAGTAGGCAGGCACTCAATCTTTTTACTTGTGATCTTTATGTACAGTATAATTCTAGTATGGTGGAGCAGTGACATGTTAAATTATCAATTTTCAAAGAATGCAGTCAGTGAAATAATTCCAAAGCCATATTAAACATAATTAATCTTATTTTAATGACTTGAGAGGTTCTTACAGATACTTTGGCCTTATCTTTATTGATGTATCATGAATTAGGTTGATAGAATGTCAGAAAAAGTTTTTTAACATATTGGGTCTATTTGGAACTTCAGGTAGATGATTGGGTGCCAGAATCAGATGGGGTGTTCATTGGGAATTGGGAGCCACTTAGCAAGGAGAATATTGGTAAGGCATTTAGCTTGCTTACGTAGCTTCAGTTTCTTTGAAAGATGACAAATTTGTTACTTTATATAGGAGTTACAAGTCAAGTTATATTGGGGTTAGGGTTGAAATTTAAGAAACTAGTGGAAACTTAAAAAATGTATAATTGGGGCTTCCCTGGTGGCGCAGTGGTTGAGAGTCCGCCTGCCGATGCAGGGGACACGGGTTCGTGCCCCGGTCCGGGAAGATCACACATGCCGCGGAGCGGCTGGGCCCGTGAGCCATGGCCACTGAGCCTGCGTGTCTGGAGCCTGTGCTCCGCAACGGGAGAGGCACGAGTACTGCCAAAAAAAAAAAAAAAAAAGTATAATTGGCACAATAAACTGCATAAGTTGGAAGTGTACGATTTGATACCCTCACTGAATCAAGATAATAAATACAACCATAACCCCCTTTGCTCCCCCTTTGTAATCCTCTTGAGTCCTTTTTTTCCCCACCCCCAGGCCATCAGTATGCATCAGTGGTTCTCAATGGGGTGATTTCTTCTTTCCCTTCAGGGGACGTTTGGAAGTGTCTTGGAGATATATATATATTTTTTGGAGATATTTTTGATCTTCATTTTCCAGTCTGAGGAATGGGGCTTCTACTGGCCTCTCTTGGGTAGAGGTCAGGGATGCTGCTGAACATCCTGCAGTGCACAGGGCAGCCTCCCACAACAAAAGGATTATCTGGCCCCCAAATATCAGTAGTGTTGAGGTTGAGAAAACCCACTACAGCTTAGTTTGCCAGACTAGATTTTCTCAAATATAGTTGTGTATGATGAAATATTACCATATGTACTCCTCTTTTGTCTGATTTCGAGTGTAAGTATTTTGAGATTCATCCACGTTGTGTGTGTAGTTCATTACTTTTTGCTGAGTAGTATTTCAGTGTATGGATATACTGTAGTTTGTTTATTCATTTACTTGTTAGTAGACATTTAGATTTCCAGTTTGGGGATATTACAAATAATGTTGCTATGAGCATTCCGGTCTAAATTTTTGTATGGATATATTTTCTTCTGGGTAAGTATCTAGTTGTGGATAATGTATGGTAGGTGTGTTTTAACATTTAAGATTCTATCATATTCTAAATTTGGGGTATTTAGGATAAAGCAGTTTATTTCATCAGTGTAGCTAAATTATAATCTACCTATAAAAATGTGCTTCTAAAAGCTTTTCACAGTTAAGTGTTATATGTATTTTAGGGCTAGAAGCATATTCCCCTAATTTTATCCCGAAGGTAAGTGAGAAAATTGAATTAAACGTTTAAAAAATGGGCTTTTCTTAAACTGTCACATCATCTATACTTGAACATGTGTCACGTGAGGTTTCTTTGAGGGTGGTTTTCTACAATTCTGTCAGGAATAGAGTTGATGGTGATTATTAGAGTTACAAAAAGGTCAATTTTTTAAGAAACTGGAAGTGTTGAGATAGGAGACTTCTCAGAGAGAGGAAATCATTAGCCAGAGAAGGACTTGGGTGCAGTAGTGCTTTGCTCACACCTTGGCCATAACCCATTTGAGCTGCTTTCTTGATGATGAGCCATGTGATGTGGATTAACCCCAAACCAGATCCCCAGCATCTGGGGTTAGATTGGGTAGTTTATTCTTAGCAGTAATGATGCATGGCAGAATATGGCCTAGACACTTTGTTACCTCCTATGTCTTGTAATTTGTTATTTATACATTTTGTAACTAATAAGGTGAGCTGGGCAGTCTTTGAAAACCCAGGCTGGAAGCATTACTGTGTCATGAACCCTGTGTCAGAATAATGTTTTTTAATGTAGATTGTAGAGTATTTGGGTTTCAAAAGAAACCAGTTCTAAAATATATTCCTACCCACAGACCCTCTGTAGGCCCATGAAATGTAGGTTGATCTACATTTTATGAATTGTTGTAACACACTTCCTTATGTACGAAGGGTGAGATGCATGCTCTGTCTGGCAGACGGGTGCAGCACTTTCATATGGAGTGGATGGGTGGACTGTGCTTGCGGTGTGCAGTCAGCCTGAGGAGGGTCTGTTGTGAGCCTGGGTAGACAGAGTGAAGAATTCTAGGAATCTGGGGATTGGTGTGGCCCTACTGCCCCTCCCCCATCTGCCAGCCCGTGTGAAGGAGGTCTATTTATTGCATGTTGGTATAGTTCAGATCATGGAGGAAGTTGCTTTCTTTAGTTTTGCCTAGGGTGATAACTTCACTGGGTTACCACTTGGCACGCCTGTGTTTGGATATGAGGGACCAGTAGAAAAAAATACTTTGGGAACTACAAAAGTTTGCTGACTTTAATTTTTCCAAGTACGCTGAAAATCTTCCAGCTACCATTGATGTTTGAACACTACCTCTCCCCCACACAGGGAAGACATATCCTAGAATAAAGATCAACCCTTTACGTTAAAGAAGGTGGTCTTATAAATCATCAATACTGTAATCTTGACTTTTTGTTTTCTTTCCATTTTTGTTGTGGATCACAAAGTCTCTGCTAGAATCTGTACTTTGGGAGTCCCTTGATTCTCACTGGTGGAAAGCATAGGGTTTGGGAAGCAGAAAGTGCTGGACTTAGTGCCCTGAGAGGACTTCGGTGGCTGCTGCCTCCCCAGTTGTTCCTGGTCAGCTCTCACAGGTGTCTGCCTATGGTCAAAGGGGGCTCGGAACAGCCACACGCAGCCAGCTCAGGGCCTTGCCCTGCTGTGCACACCCTGTCCGGTTCCTGGGCAGTGGACTGGGCTTCCAGCCTGTCTGGTTCTGTGCTTTGGGAGCCTGCATTTCTTGTGAAACTTTTCCTGCCCACTCTTAAGCCAGATTCGTACCTGTAGAGCTTAGAAATGTTACTCCATGGAAGCACCTAACACACAAAGGTAAAGAGTATTACAGGAAAGGCCATGTCAGAAAAACAAATCCATCCTTCTTTGCCAAAGGTGGAATTGTTTGCATGCTGTCTTTTACCTACCAGCGTTGCTCAGACTTCAGTTTCCGTAGCCTCAAAGTAATAGGGTTGAGTAGAGAATGGTTTTTAAATTTTGTTTTTAAAAATCGTGGTAAAATATATGTAAATTTTGCCATCCTAAAATGATTACGTGTACAGTTTAGTGGCATTGGGTACAGTGTTGTACACTATGCCAATAGCCACTCGCCATTTCCAGAACTTTTTTCTATCATTCCAAACGGAAACTCTGTAGCCATTAAACAGTAACTCGCCATTCCCACCTCTCCCCAGTCCTTGGTAACCTCTGTTCCTTTTGTCTCTATGTCTGGCTTATTTCACTTAGCATGTTTTCAGAGTTCATCTGTGTTGAAGCATGTATCAGCACTTCATTCTTTTTTTATGGCTGAATAAGTAATATTCCATTGTATGGATCTCCCACATTTAGTTTATATCATTCATCTGTTGGTGGACACTTGGATTGTTTTCACCTTTTGCTATTGTGGATAATGCTGCTAATGGTGTACAAGTACCTGAGTCCAATTTTTTTCTGCCCACAATGAAAGACACTTTTATTTGTAAAGCTAAGATTGGTTGGACCTATGTGTACCACCTCATTTCTGTTCCATGAAATCTTATAAATCTTCCTTCTCTTTTCCTGTTTCTGTCTTGGAGTTAAGGCTCCTTGGGCAGGGAGTTGGCTTGTCTCCCCCACCTCTGTTAGAGCCCCACAGGAGTGTGTGAAGGCCTAGGAAAGCACACTTGTCTTGGGAATGATTTTTTGTGATAGGTGGGTTTTAAAGAGCGTACTACTGCAATATACTGCTGTATGGACCACTTTAGTTTGTCTCAAATCAGAATCAATATTAGTCTTGTGTTACATTTAACTTTGTGTGGGATTGTAAACCTGGAAAATCAAATATTGTCTTTAGTATTGTGCTAACATATGGACTTTTTTCCCCCCTCTCTTTTGAATTCAGTGAAGGAGAACGACCAGCTCAGAATGAAAAGAGGAAGGAGAAAAACATAAAAAGAGGAGGCAATCGCTTTGAGCCATATGCCAATCCAACTAAAAGATACAGAGCCTTCATTACAAACATACCTTTTGATGTGAAATGGCAGTCACTTAAAGACCTGGTTAAAGAAAAAGGTAATGGTACTGGTGGTTGAGTAGGGTCAGAAGGTTGGTGTGTCATCTTCTCTGTGGATAATTCCTTGGTTATTTTTTTGTCAGTGAAGCTGTTCTGGGTAGAGAATGTGTTCTCTCCAGGCTTGAGAGTGAAGCCCCCCCCCATCCTACTTTTTTATTTTTACTTTTTGTGGTCATGCACTTGTGTGTCAAACAGGTTGTTTGTTTGATCCCTTGGCCTACGAATGATTTTACTGGCTTAATATGGTTAATAGGGCTTTGATTAATCTTGAGGGGAGCCTCTTTGTGTTAAGGAAATTTTTTGAATTCTTCATATGAGGTGGGAGAAATTTTTTCTTTTTCCTTTTTGTTTTAAAGTTCTGGCGGGAAGGTAGTTTAAATTTTGTGGCTGTCTTCCTGGGATCAAAAGTTGGTAGCTGGAACTTGTGCTGCTCAGATCCTAAATTATAAAACCGTAGCTTGTATTTAAACTGTTAGGCTTCCCCACCCTGGGGAGGAAAACACAGAGTAGATTGGCAATTGGCTAGCTCAAAATAAAGCATCTGCTGTGTAATTTGGTGCCTTTAGGCACACATCGGTCACAGCCCTGGTGTTAAAAGTCTGGCCTAGGGCAGAGGAAGCAACTGAATGAAGCTCTGCTGCCACCAGGAGGTCCTAGGGGGTTGGTTGCCCCCATGGTCCTCTGCTTTACCCACCCCCCACCCCCCATTCCCACTCCCACCCCCATGCACACCACGTGTGTCTTTCTTTTCATACTCTTGTTCTGCTTCTTTTGTCTTCTTTTCCTGATTCTGGGCCCTGCTGGTGGCACACAGGGCTAAAGAGATTGCTCAGCCCAGGTTTAAACAAAATTATTGATAGAGAACCATTTGTGTAATGCGTTGAGGTCTCCCCTCACCCCTACCCCAAGGGAAACCTAGAATCAAATTATTCTTAAATGGAGTCTTGAAGGACTGAAAGGTACTGGTTTTTCTGGAGCATTCATAATGAAAAGAGATTTGAGCTTGATTTGTCAAATGATTAACATTTCAGTGACAGATGCCACTTGGATAGGCCATTTTGGTATGTGTACTGGTGCTCCCAGCATTGGGTTTTGAAATTATGAATGGCCCACTGCCATCATTGTCCCATCACTTAATTCAACCATGACATGCCAGAAGCACTAGGCACCATGAACCTCTGTACAGTCATGTAGGCTGTTCCCATGTAGTATTTCTCCAGGTAACATGGATGGAAAAATGTTTTGGTGTGAGATTTGTTTTCCTGCCTTGATCAGCCAAATCATTCCTGCCAATACTCCTAGGGCAAGAGTGAAGTTTCTTCTTTTTGTCTGAAGGGCGTGTCATGTGGCATCCCAGATGCAGTGTTCTTGGTTTTTGGGACTGCTGCTTCAATAAAGCTTAGAATTTCTGTACAGTACAGTTGGGTCTCATTCGAATTAGTTTTTGGGATAACCCCCAAATTTGTGTTCTCGTGATTTGGTTGAACCGCTGAATTGATACTTCCATTGATAATAAGGTATAGTAGTTCCAAGAACCAGGAATGTGGCTTTGAAAATGCAATTGTTAGAATTTTGTAAGAGATTGCAGGCCAAATTATTTTTCCATTTTTAGGAGTGTGTGAACCAGTTTTGGGACATGATGGATAAAGTAGGTGACATTTTTACTGCTTTACCATTCAGTAATTCAGTTTTGGAAGCCTTAAAGCTGGTAGCAGCAGCAGCCATGACGTTTCTGGATGTAGAAGCAGTTCACCTCAATTTCCTATTTTGCACTGTATTAAGTGTGGAGCCAGCCTGGTGGTTTATTCGGATACTTCCAAACTGGTTCTCATATTCCCTTGGCATACTGCTATTAATGCCCTGGCTCAGCCCTTTCAGTGTATTTTTGGCGGTGTAATTTAGAATTACAGGTGTGCAGTAAATCAGTTATTCTTAACAAACCTTAAAATGTTCTTGTTTAGAGCTCCCCTGTACAGGTTAAATTAATTACTTTCCTGTTTAATTAAATTATTAGAAGTATTGGATTGTGGATAAAGGGATGCATAAGAGAAAAGTAATCATTTTATGGTAAATCTTATATTCAGTATGTGAAGTCTAAAGAAATTTACTATTTACATACGTACGATTTCTTAAAAATGTCCTTATTTTCATTATGTGGTTTTAAAAAATATTTTAATTCATGTCTTGGTATACCAAAAATATGTTTCAATGATTATTTGAAATCTGAAATATTTACTTGAAATGCGTTGCACATGTTTTAAGGTTTTTGAAGACTTGTCCCATAGGAAAAAAAAGTTGCGGATAGAGGCACTCACACTCTAAAAGTATTAGTCTCAAGATAGTCTCTGAAGTGGGCAAACCACAGAGATTTGGGCTGTTATAATCCAACCACTCTTTATCAGTCTGCATTTTAAGAGTCTATTCCTGATGAAATCATAGTCCTGTTGTTTCAGGAAACTAGTGGAATAGCTAGAATTAGTTGTCCTCGGCTTAAAGATCTGAAAAATGCTCTGTCATTGCAGCACTGCCTATAATTGCTGCCTGTCAGAACTCAAGTAGTAGCTTTGAGATGGCAAGACGAGTGTTTTCCCTAAGGATAATCATGCCTGAGAGTGCCTCATGTACCCCTCCGTAGTTCCCGATCTTTTCCCCCTCCTTGGACACCAAGTGTATATTCTCCATGTTTGTTAGCATTTAACAGCCTTCTAGGAGATCCTATTAATAACGCATGTATTATGTGAACAGGCCACTTATTCCTTTTCCCCTGGATGGGATCACAAAGCTTGTTTGGTGGCACTATCGTGAAATCAGCATTGCTGACTTTAAAGAGAAAAGGTACTGAGAACTTTGTTTAGTTGTGTGCCAGGGTGCTTCCCCCGCCCCCTCCCCCATCATATCATTCAGGGACATGGATTAAACAGCCTGCAGAATTGAGCTTGAGCTTTCCCTGAGCTTTCCCCTTCCTGCTCTAAGTGTCTGATGGAGCAAAGGAAAGGTTTCTATTGTCCGTCTTTTTGATCATGCTTATTTTTAACGGAGATACTACATGGAACGAATGACTGCTGTGAACACTGAAGAGTGGATTGAAACAAAAATTGAGAGCCAGTGTAATAGGCAATTTGAATTGGAGGTTGCCAAACCAGGTTTGAAAGTAAACAGTCTCAACAGCTACCTCATTTTCATCACTGGATCGATATTGGGATACACATCTCAAAAGTGTTTGACCATAAGGTCTGGGCGAAAAATTAAGACTTCCGTGAACAAGAGGTGATTGATCTTGGGAATTCTAAACTTAAATAGTGTTGTGCTACATTACCGAGAAGTCCTGTGTGGATGAAGAAAGCTCGTCGTCGGGCTGTTGTTCTCCTGGCCTAACCAGGGAGCCAGCAGCATTGAGGTGGGGCACCTGCAACCGAGGCAGGACTGAGCTGCATGAGCAGTGAGTAAACATGGAGAAAGTTTGAGGAGGAAAGAAAGGAGGGTCAGTGATACAGCTTACTCTCAGTCAGTCTCAAGTTTAGCAGCAGTCAGTTTAACTTGTGTAAGCAAAGATTTCTTAAGAGCTTAATCCTTCTGTTTTTATTGAATACATCACTTTAAGTCAGTTTCAAATTCCAGCTGACAGAAAACTGAGGCCCAGTGGGCAAGTATAGTCCAATAGTAAGTCTCTGTTGGCTCTCGAAGATCATTTACATTGTGGGTCTGTGGAGCAGAACTTTATTTTCAATTTAAGTAAAAATCCCTACCCAGTCTGTTTGGCTCCTTCATATTTTCCTTTGTTGGAAATTCAGCCTGCGTTTTGGAAAGGCCTGTTGATGCTAAAGCATTCATATCTGTGGGTACTTGGGTTGAACCTTAATAGTGCAGCCTGCCTGGCTTATTTGTTGGTTTTTGGTCGAGTTAGAGAGGCAGAATTCTGTTCTCGTCCATGGAATTAGGAGCAAGAAGGTGTTTAATCATTTTCTAATTTTTCCATAAATTGAGTAATCGTTGTATAGTGTAATTATTTTGCCGTGCTTCAAGTTGTCTGTATATTAAAGAAACAGGCTTTCCAAGTTAAAATATGCCTTTATTCCATGCACCCCTCCATTAGAGCATGCCCTGCTTTGGAGCTACTCCCCCAACCCCCTTTGAATTCTTTTCAGTGAAGCTTCAGCCCCTGTACTTGTGTGTGTGTGTGCGCACGTGTGTGTGCATGCGCGTTTGTTTCAGCCTTGAGCAGTAAATGAAATGAGAATATAGAAACAAATACTCTTTGTGATATAAGTATGTGCAGGAGTGTTAAAGTAGCTCCAAGGGACTATGAATTCTTTTGGGGTTGCTCATTATCTTACCCTCATGATATGTTTTATTCTTGGGGTAGTATTTTTAATAATCCACCTAAATGTCGGTTAATTTTCTCTGAGCATTTTAAAGTAAAGGTAGGGACTTCTTGGTGGTCCAGTGGTTAAGACTCTGTGCTCCCAATTCACGGGGCCCAGGTTTGATCCCTGGTCAGGGAACTAGATCCCACATGCCGTAGCTAAGACCCGGAACAGTCAAATAAATAAATAAATAAATATTAAAATAGCTTACCTTTAAAAAAATATAAAATAAAGGTAGGTGATAACACTTGGCATTAGATTTTTCAGAGTCTTAGTTTTTTCATTTAGATATTTTGATGTTTAAAGCTGCAATAGAATTTGTCTTAGTAGCCTACTCTTGGGATTCCATGGATTCCATCCATGTTCAGGAATGAGAGGAGCAGCAGTATTTTTCATTAATACCTGTGAATTCCATGTCTATGAGACTTGCTACTGCCAATTTGTTAACTCTGCCTCAGTCCTAACTGATCTGCTCTGGTTGATTTGCTCTTTTAAACTTCATTTCATTGATTGTGACCAGACTATGAATAGTTGGTAAATTTTGCATTCAAAGTTTTGTTAATAGTTGTACTGACTATACTAAACAGGTCTTTGCTTTAATAATGTAGAACTAAAAGAGAGGTGGTCTTTTAAAGGTTTTATTATTCTCTTCCTGTACGGAAGTATGAATTGGCAACTGTTGCAGATCCTGTAACAGTGATTTGCTTACGTCTCTGAATTGATGTGGTCTCAGGGTAGAGATCAGAAAATTATGAATTCATGAGGAGCATGGTCATTATTGATGATACTCGGGAACAAGACTACTCGTGGTAGAGCCGCAAGGCTTGCCTAACCTATGGCTAAACTGATAGGTTGGAGGCTTTTTTAAATGTAATTTTTTGTTTTTAATAAACAACTATACCATTTGGGGAAAAAGAGGGAACATTTTAAGCAGAGTATTGGTGCAGAGGATTGAAGTTGGATTTGTGCTGTCTCTAGAATGTTAAGCAGAAAAAGTCCTAATTTCTAAACCTGGCTTTTTGTAAACAAAAATGGTTATGACCATGGAAAAAAGTTTGGTTTGGACTTGCTTGGTTTCTGGGTTGCAATGACAGCTTTTTGATATAAATCAGTGTCTTTACGGGCACAAACTAGAAACTTTGAAAATGCAACAATATTTGAATTCTGACAACATAGTTGCAGCTGTCAGTTAGATACTGTGATTGTTTTAGTTATTTTTAAGGTTATTAGGCGGTAGTCATAGCTCTAGGAAGTAAACTTGGGGTTGGGTCTCTTTACTGTCTTGACACTACTTGGCATTTTCATCAACGTGGAGAACAGGGACTGTTGGTCCTCAAATGGCTGCTGCTGTTGAAACAAATGGCTTTTAACATGGCCTCAGGAATGACCACAACATTTTGGGAATTGCTTTATTTTTGTAAGGATAACAGAAAGCCAATTTGTATGGCTGTCCCTTGGCTGTGATCATTTTTCAGTTGTACATAGTCCAAAAGTTACACTATACCAGTCCCTCCTAATTTGTTTCTTCATTTCTTTGCACTGATTCTCCTTCCTGTTTTGTGCAAAGTGCTGGTTTGGTTTGTAATATTTCAGGAAAGGACAAGGGAGGTGAGGCTGTACAGTTAAACTTTGAACACTTGGCCTTCTTGCTGTCAACTGCCATGCAAATATACTACTAATAAATATGCCCTTCAAATTTTAAAAAATATTTTTATTTTACATTTCAGTCTTTCCTTGGTGTATTAATTTTAAAATCTTCATAATAATTTTAATATCCTTTGAACAAAGGAATTAGACTAGGAAGGACTTGGGCCCATTAAGAGGGTTATTTTTACCCTTGGCTGCTAAACCAAATTGAAAACTGAATGAGAGAAGGCTTTACCATCATAAAAATAATCGTTAAAAAAGAAAAAGTGTTTCTTAGAACAAAAGCCCTTTCTTGACTTTGGAGAGCCTGCTTAGATATTGTTTCCACAAAGTTAACACTTAAATTTCTGGGGGTTTTTTGGTGTCTGTGTGCCATCTTCAAGTTCAGCAGCCATTTTGGTGGTTGTCTAGGTGGGTTCTAACATCTGGTTGTGGTGGTCATGAATTGGCAATCCAAACCTTGAGGAAAATCTGCAGAATCTTTTGAAATCCTTTGTTTTTCCCCCTTTGTATAGATTAGCATCCTAAGTGAGTCTGTGTAGCTGTTTAGTTGCAGACTGAGCTCTAAGTTTGCATTTATCTGTGTCCTTAAATGAGAAGGTTGAGAGAGCAGCAAGAATACAGCCTGGCTTAATTTTAATTCACTGAAGAGAATCCAGATGCTGCTCTGGTTTTGTGATAGAATATTTACACATCCTACTTGTGACGGTTGTGGAGCCTAGTGCTGTGTGCAGGACCAGCCACAGAATCTGTGGGGCCCAGTGCAAAGTGAAAACACAGGGCCCCTTATTTAAAAATTACTGAGAATTTCAAGACAGCAACAGAGCATAAACCCAAGTGCATGGCCCTCAGTGCAGAGTCCCATGCGATTTGACAGGTTGCACACCCATGTAGCCAGCCATGCCGTGTGTGCGCCTTTGAGGATATATATTATACATATACGCATCTTTGTAGTTAGCATTTGAGCTCAGTTCAGTGGCATTTCAATTTGTGTGCTGTTCACCTTCTTGCAATATTAAGAGTGTATTTGTAAAATTGTTTTCCTCTTTCCCCAAAAAAGTGAATCACGCAGACTTCTTTCCTGTAGATTTGGATTGCCTCTAGTCATGAATGAGTATTTCAGACAGGGAAATTGATATGGAAATCTGTGGAAATAGCTTGTTTGAGGTGGGAGGAAAATCAAGGACATTGTTAACAAGTTTCACCTACTTTTACTGCACACCTGTAATGCCTAGTGTGGTGGTTTAGAGAATATGGAGTGTTTCTGGGCTTTCTTATAAGGCAGAGGCTCCATACAAGGTTGCTGATGATTGTTCTAAATTCCCATTGTTTTCTTGGCTTTTCTCCCTTGGTTTATGTGTCGTCTGGAAACTGATTTGTAGTTGGTGAGGTAACATACGTGGAGCTCTTAATGGACGCTGAAGGAAAGTCAAGGGTAAGTGTCTGAGAGAATTTCTTCTGTGGATTTACTACATGAAAAATGTAACTGTATGGTGGCGTGGAATCGAATGAAATCAGGAAGGCAGTGAGTGCTCATGTTATAGTAGCTATGTTTGATTTTGCCAAACATTCGAGTGGGGTGGGAGGGGATTTGCCAATGGGAGTCCCGCTTTTCCAAATGGCTGGGCAAAGAGCTTTTTGGTATTCTGTTTGGATGCCCAATTTGGATAACTGGGGACCAATAGCAGCATTGTCTCTTTGTTAACAGAGGAATTGGCTGTGTGTGAATTATGCATGGAATTTTAGCGGTGGTATATTAATGTAAAACGTGTGTTCTTGTCTAGAAAATGTTACTTTTGGTTGTTTGCTGTATTTGAAAGTTGTGTGAACCAAAGATTCTGAAAAGTTGCCTTTGTGCCAGTAAATTGTAAAACAAATACTAAAACTTGAAAGTTTAAAATTGGCCTAGTTTAAAGAGAAAATTAACTATTTTCTGTCGTGCAATAGAATGGCTTAGAATAATCAAAAGGATGAGCTTAATTTATGGAAGGGATGGATTTAGGAGGAGTATGTTAAGGAATTGATTGAGTACAGAGAGAAGCAGATCTAAAGTTTGTGTGATTTCTCGGAGAACCTGAATTTAGGTCTGCTCATTATAACTTCAGCAGCTATAGTGCAATGCTGGTAATGTGAAGGAAGAGGAGATACCAAGGAGCTGAGCTCTTAATAAGGAAGGCTAGGCAAGACACTTCTATCAGCTTCCCCTTAGAAGGGTTAATTTAAAAACTGTTACATAAATCATATTTTTAATTTATAACTGTCATTGAAATTTACTATTTTTTTTCTTTTCTTTTTTTTCCCTTTGCTCTTCTGACTGTCTGTGGCTTCTTCCAAAGGGATGTGCGTAAGTATTGTCTAGTTACTTATTGGCACTTGAGCCTTCTAAGTTGTAGGACTGGTTTCACTTATTTCCTTTTGACTCTTCATAGCGTTGTTGAATTCAAGATGGAAGAGAGCATGAAAAAAGCTGCTGAAGTTCTAAACAAGCATAGTCTGAGTGGAAGACCACTGAAAGTCAAAGAAGTAAGCTCATGAAACACTGTGGATACCGTTTGTAGTTGTCGAGTGTCCCTGTTTCGAGTTAGGAAAAGACAGAATAGTCCTTGATGACATTTTACGGAGCAGAACAACCTGTTGTTAACGAGGAGGGTCAGTCACAGGCTTCAGCAGTCATTCCTGTAAGCACTTTGGGATAGTGGCTGAGCATATCTTGAGCCACTGCTGACTGCCTTCCTAACATCTCTGATTTGTATTAGGCCAGCCTGCCTTGGTTTTCTCAGGGGCAGTCAAACTGAGTCCATGGTTTTTTTTTTTTACTGTGTGTGTGTGTGTGTTTTTTTGTTTGTTTGTTTTAAGGTATTCTACATCTACAGTTTTACTCAGTCTGAACCCTGTTCTTGGCCCATCTGTTTTCTTTTTTAAAATGAGTTTAAATCCTTTTTCATAGCTAATCCAAATCGGGTATCTTCCCTCCCTGGAGGGAAGCGGGAGACTTTTTGTTAATTCAATCCTTCCTTGACTTATTTTTACCTCTTATTCTTGGAGGAAGGTCAGTATATGCGGGCTCAGAGAGGAAAGCATGGTAGTGCTTAAGTTCTCTTGTGTGAAGGTAGCACGCAGAAGGGCAAAGAGTTTAAGAATATTGTCAACACCAGAGATTCATCAACCTTTCCAGACTTTACACATGAGTCAAATGCCTGAATACTTGGAAGGATGGAGAACCTTGGTGGTCTAGAGCTGTGTTTTCAAACTTGTGGGAAAATCGCCAGTTGGGTTTGCAGAAATTATAAAAACCCCTTGAGTTAGTGAGATTCAACTGTACCAAGCCCTTGAAGATCTTATTTCAACCTGGAAGTTTTAATCATGTCATCCCCCCCTCCCTTTTTTTGTTTTTTTACTTAGTTAATTGAGAGCTAAATTCTACACCCTTCCTTTCTTCCTCATTCTTTTGGCTAGAATTGTTCCTGGCCTGGTGGTTTAGTTTTACTTCATTTGAATTTTTTGTTACAGATTTTGAGAAATGGTTTCCAGACAACCTCTCAATCTCTGAAGTTTTGGGGGTATCACTTACTGTGGGAGCATGGTTTTAATTGTCACTGGGTCAGTTAAATGTAACCCTTTTGTGCTTGTTTTAGGATCCTGATGGTGAACATGCCAGGAGAGCAATGCAAAAGGTGATGGCTACGACTGGTGGGATGGGTATGGGACCAGGTGGCCCAGGAATGATTAATATCCCACCCAGTATCCTAAATAATCCTAACATCCCAAATGAGATTATCCATGCATTACAGGCTGGAAGACTTGGAAGCACAGTATTTGTAGCAAATGTAAGTAAATGGAAACATTGTTTCATAAAGTTTGCTTTTCTACTTTAGACAATCTTGTCAATGTGTTGTAAAAGTTCTGACATTTGAGAAGAAAAACTTAAAAGAGGGTTATGTTATCTTCTTGATTTATTTAAAAAATCATCCTTGGGCTTGGCTTTGTCCCCTAATGACCACTGCAGTCCTAAGTCACACAGGCTTGACCACGGTCCTGTTGGGGCCATGTTTATGGAGTTTTGCTGGTGTGTATAAAAGTAGGTGCAGGGTAAAGTGTATGAGCAGAGATTGTGTATTGACATTTCCCTCTTCCTGTTAATGTCTGGGTGAATGGTAATACTTTGCCATTTGCACAGGGAAGTATTTTTAAAAGAAAGTGGATTGGGGAGGATGATGGTAAACCTTATCTGGGGAGCAGCATTTTTTAGTATTCACAAAATAAGCCTTAACTTGAAAGGTCTGAGGTGACTTAAATTGTTATTTCAGAGAAAAGAGACAGTATGTAGTAGAAGGCAAACTTTCGTAATCCTATTTGAAAAATTATACTGACATATTTTTGTGACATTATTTTTGTGACATTTTCTAATGCTTGTTTTCCAACCAGAGCATGTCACATTCATGTAGTAAAAATGTTTACAATGAGATTTTCCTCTCTTCTCTTGATTAGCTGGATTATAAAGTTGGCTGGAAGAAACTGAAGGAAGTTTTTAGTATGGCTGGTGTGGTGGTCCGAGCAGACATTCTTGAGGATAAAGATGGAAAAAGTCGTGGAATAGGCACTGTTACTTTTGAACAGTCCATTGAAGCTGTGCAAGCTATATGTATCCTTTGATCGGTATTCAGCTCCTGGTGAATTTAGTTTAGCCTAAATGTTGTATTAGTAAGACAGGTTTGTGTGGGGAAGTGGTAATTTTGTGTATTAGTATTTCCTGTGTGACTAGAGAGAATACATTATTATGGATATTACTAAGGGAATACAAAGTATCTACATAGTATTGTACTTATGTAGATAGAAGAGATGGTTAGAAAACAGGCACATGTCCATGAGTGGTCTTTTCCATTGTCTCTTTAGAGGAGACTGGTTTGAAGGGAGAAGTCCAAAGAATGTGCCACTGGAGAGAAATTCAGTGTTATTTCATATGTAAGCCCTTATAGGGCCCTATCTCTTCAGTGGATTGACATTCTGGAAGAAGCACTTCTCTCTGACCCTAGGCTGCTCACGCTACTCACCCCAGAGTTACATCTTTGTAGTCACAGGGAGAATACCACACATGAACACTGTCACTAAACTCAGGCAAGATTGTCACTGAGTATATTACCCAGAAAACATGGTACTCCACAAAATGGTAGAACGCCTGGCTTATTGGACACACACAGAAAACTGATGTCAGTGCTTAATTTAAGAGGAGAATGGTTTGGTGAGAAATGGAAGGTTTTATGAATGGCGCGCCACACCTAAGGAGTAAGCTGAGGTTTCCAGTTTTTCCCCTTGAGTGTTATTTATTGTCCCTTTAATGCTTACTGTAGGAATAAATATTTGAAAGTATAAACAGGAGTCAAAATTGCTCATAAATTCACCACTTAGAGGGACTGGTAGCAGCAGTTGGAGTATTTTTCTCTTAGGTATTTCTGTTCTGCTGTGCATGTTTCTAGAATTGCAGGAAATAGCCTTAATTGTAATATCAGCTATGTTTAATGGCCAACTGCTATTTGACAGACCAATGCACGTGAAAATGGTAAGTTAATAGGATCTTTCCTTTAATATACTCAGATAAGTTTAGCAAAAACATGGGTTTATTAAGAGTATACATACACATAGCCACTGTACTTTCTTTATGGATCAGTCCAAGTTAAAGGGTACAGCACATTGAGCAAATTTATGACAGAAATAACTTTTTGCTCATGCACTTCTTCAGATATTTTTTCCTTTGCACAGTTACTGGCATGGTCAGGAGGTCACTTGCATATCCTGCTTGAGCAAGTGATCAGTTTCACAGAATGGTTTTATATATATAGGTTGCCAGTTTTCAGAGTATTGCAGTACGTTTAATTAGCATCATATCTATTGTGAACATAATTAAGTCTGATTCAGAAAGCCTTTAAAGTTCTGTTGAAGCGTTTCAGTATAAACATTAGCCCAGCTATGGCTGTGCCCAAGATGCCAAAGATAACAGTATTAATACAAGCATGACCGGAACGTGCTGAGGGCAATCTAGTTAGTTAGGGTTCCAAATCAAGAAGGACATAAAAGGAGCTCTAAAGGAATTTTTTAGTTCCTTTAAACATTCAGTTTAGTTTTTTGAATAGATAATTGCTTCACATGATTCAAAAGTCAAAAAACATGAAAAATTCAGTGTGGGAGTCTTGGTCTTTGTGCCCAGGTTCCATCCATCCCCCATAGTGATATGAATGTATATTTTTTTAATCTTTCCCCCTGTACACAAAAGGTGGCAACTCTCACATATTCTTTTTATACTTGCATGTTATTCTATGGCATGGGTGTATCATAATACATCTAACCCATCCTCTGTTGATAGAAATGGTTTCCATCTTTTGCTGTTGCTAACAGTACTGCAGGGAATACTGAGATTTATTCATTTTCTCTTTCAGGATGAGAGGGCCTTACCAAAGGGAGATTTTTTCCCTCCTGAGCGTCCACAACAACTTCCCCGTAAGTGTCTCAATTATTATGGCTAAAATTTTGAATTTGATTTATTCTAACAAGAAAACTGCAATTACCTTTGAACTTGTGCCTTGTCAGTTATCTTGACCATTCTTGAGTAAAACATTCAAAAAGGTTGTTTGCCCTATAGATTTTTCTGTGGGAAAAAATGAGTAGAGAGATTCACAACTTAGGAAGGATTGTTAGGATTACACTGTGGTGTGAGGCAGGCTACTTAGGATGTAGAGGCTTTAGTTGGGAAGAAACAAACTGCAAAGGGAATTAAAGCCAGGTTGCCCTTTGGTTCAAAAGAGATTGGTTATTACCATGTGGCCTAGCAATTCCACTCCTAGGTATACTACAAGAAAGCTAAAAACTTAAGATCCACACAGAAATTTGTGCACAGATGTTCATGGCAGCATGATTCCAGCTGATGAATGAATAAATAAAATGTGATAAATCCACACAGTGGAATAGTACTCAGCCGTAAAAAGGAGTGAAGTACTGATACATGCTACAGAATGGATGAACCTTGATTCCATCTCTGAGAAATGTCTAGAACAGGCGAGTCCACAACAGGTGGATTGTGGTTGCCAGGGGCTGGGGAAAGGGGTGAGTGGAGAGTGACTGCTTATGGGGTGGGATTTCTTTTGGGGGTGATGAAAATGTTCTGGAATTGGGTAGTGGTAATGGTTGTGTAACTCTGAATATATGAAAAATCACTGAACTGCACACTTTAAATGGGTGAATTTTATGGTGTGTGAAGCACAGCAATCAGAAGTTTTATATAGTGTTATTTGCAACATGCAGGTGAAAATCTGTCCTGGGACAGGGAAGGCTTGTTGGTTGGTTGGTCACCGCGTGGGTGGAAACAGCGCACAGTAGTGAAGTCCTAGGCACCCCCTCTGGCAGGCCCACAGAGAGGAGCAGAGCCTGAGCACAGACAGCCCAGGGAGTGGGGGTGAGGGCCTGCTGTAGCATGAGGGTTGGGGAATCTGCAGTGTGGGCAGGGCTAATCTGTAGAAGGAAGACTGGGTGGTGGGTGAGGGCAAGATCTGCTTGTGCTGTGCTAGGGAGGACTTCCCCCGCTGAGGCTGCTGGGGTGGAGCTGTTCGGAGGGCCGGCCAGTCCCTCCTGTCTGGAGCAGTGGCTCAGCCGTGGGAGATTGAACTGAACGGGAGCCTAGACTAGAACACTAACTCTTCTTCGCACTTTAGGATTGTAGAAGCATCATAGAGGCAGATTTTGAGCGGAGGTCTGTGGTTTCAAGAATAGGAGATGGCTTATCTGTTGAAAGTTAAGGACCCCATTTCCTTGTCATAATCAGTGTGATCACTTGCAGTAATTACCCAGGAACAGGGCGATGGCTCTTGTTGACTTTGGGCCTGGAGGAGGGGGGTGAGGGCTGCTTGGCAGCCTCGGCTGGCACACTGGGCTCCAGGGAGCCCATTATCTATGGCTTTTGGTCTCCCCAGCACATTTCAGAGGGTTGACTTCAAAGTCTTCAGTGCTTTGGGGAGTAAGTAACCTTGGTGAGCTCTTGCTGCTGTTTCTATGCAATTTAAGAACAGGGATTTTAATCAGATTAAATATTTGGGAACCGGTGTCAGGTTGTTTTAGTGAACTTTGTTCCCGTTTCAGAAATCTCACCTGGTCTTGGTTTAAGCCTCCGACCCATGGTGACCCAGAGCACTGTAAGTGTCTTAGGCTGTCAGGCCTTGTTGGCTGCTCCCTGTTTGTGGAACAGGGAGTTGAAGGTGGTTTGGGTACAATGCACGCCTTAGGAAGCTTTCTGGGTAGAAGATATGTTCTTTGAATACACTAGCTTCATTGTTGTTAAAACCGCCTGCAGCGGAGTCAGAATAGTGTAAGCCCAGTGTGTTAATTGTCTGGTTTACGACATTGTTTATCGTGAGAAAAGTCCTTTGGGTCTGCAGGTTGAGAGGTATGGGTTGGGCATATGTGTACCGCTTGCCATCTGATGTCTCCAGTTGCCTGTTTTGATTTTAAACGTTTCTCAGTTCACGATTTAGGGAAACAAATCGGTGCTCATGATTCTCATTGAGTGGGTTGTTCATGGTTCTTCTCTGTAGTTTTCACGTGAACTGATTTTTAGTTGCCCTTGTTTTATTTTTTAAATTTAATTTAAATTTTTAAAATTTATTTTTCCTTTATTTATTTTTGGCTATGTTGGGTCATTGTTGAAGTGCATGGGCTTTCTCTAGTTGCAGCGAGTGGGTTTCTCATGCGGTGGCTTCTCTCGTTGCAGAGCACAGGCTTTCAGCGCATGGGCTTCAGTAGTTGTGGCACGTGGTGCCCTTGTTTTATACATGTCTCACCCTCTAATCCGTAAAGTTGTATAAGAGCTTATGCCTTAAAAGGGAGAGCTCCTAAATGCGCCCTTGTTGACTCATGGATTAGACCCTGGATTTGCTGGTGGAGGTAGGCGGTGGGATAAGCGTGACAGCTACAACACAGTAAACAAAGGCTCTTTTTTGGCTTTGAGAGTCATGGTTTCCTGAGTAAGTGGAATCAATACTCTGACTTTGTCTTTTCCTTTCAGATGGACTTGGTGGTATTGGCATGGGGTTAGGACCAGGAGGGCAGCCTATTGATGCCAATCATTTGAATAAAGGCATTGGAATGGGCAACATAGGACCCGCAGGTGAGAAATACAGTGTACCTCGACTGGGGATTTCTGGGGAAGTTAAAGTTATTAAAGTTAACTATTGGGATACTTGGACATTGAGTAGTTCAAATGGAATGAGGCTTTAATTGGGACAAAATTAATTCCCTCCTTATTTATCTTTGATGCATTTTGATAAAAACAGTATTTTGTATTTTTACCGAGTTGAGTGTTCCTTTCTAAAGCTATTATGCTTTGCATTTTATCCTCTCGAGATCTTCTGAGCTGAGGTACTCAGTTAAGCCTTTTGGTAAAGGGAGGCAAGCCAGAGGGTTGGTCTTGCTCAAGGTCACACTATCAGTTAGTGACAGAAACTGTGGGTCTCCTGATCCTGGGACCACAGCACTGCCACAGTCTATTACCCAGACCCCCTTGGGTTCTCACCTGCTGTTGACATGGCTTCTAGAGGTAGGGGCGTTTGTGGATGCAGAAAGGTATAGAGGGCCTCATTGCATGACCGCATAGCTGTCATAGGCCACAAGGATGAATGATGCACAGTGTTGTCTTTGTTTAAGAAGAAAAGAAATAGCTAATGAATAAAAGCTTTGGCGTGGAGAATAAACTTTGAACTTCACTTTTTAGCATTTTCGTTTTCATGCAACGAAGCATTCGTATATCATTTTAAAATATTTCATTTTTATAACCTCAGGCCTGTCTTTCTTGAAATTCTTTGAATTGCAAGATGGATGCCCTCTACCGTACTACTGTCAGTTCTGCATATCCTTTGACTCCCTCCCAGATTAAACTCTGGGGCTGACCAAAACGTCTTGGCCCATCACCTTGGGTGGCTATACCAGTCTGAACACCACATCCCCTAACTGATAACCTCAGAGGAAAGGCTGTGGGTGGCGGGGAGGGAAGCCTCAGCGTTTTGAGGAACTGCTTTTTATTTAGAGCGTTTTACCTTTAAAAGAGAGTTTTAAATCTACTTCTGTTCCCTAGTCTGTACCTGTTATTTATATTTCATGTTTAAAACTGTCTACCTTGGGCATTTAATGAAACTATGTGGACACTATAGAATTTTGAGTCACATGGTGATTATTTTGTTAAAGGCGTAAATAGTTTTCCTGGAATGTACTAGTTTGACAGTTGAAATGGAAGAGCCCCCACCCCATTTTTTGCACTTGACAATTAAAATATATTTGTAGTCAGGGATATTTTTGCTCATTTGCTGGTGTGGAATTTCTTGTGCTTTTTAAGTTCAAACTTTACTGCTTTGACATAATTTTAGTTTGCATTGACTTTTTCTTTTTAAGGAATGGGAATGGAAGGCATAGGATTTGGAATAAATAAAATGGGAGGTAAGAAATTTAAAATGAAGTACAAATGTAATTACTTTTAGGTATGGTTTTCCCTCTTTTTTTTCTCCCTTCCTTTTCTCTTAAGCCCTGCATGAAATTCTCACTTAGGTTTCCACAAAGGTTGAGTCTAGAAATAACTTTTACCTGTTGATCCTTCTAGTGGGTGTCTTGGCCTTTGGTTCTGGCTTTCTCACTAACTAGCTCTGTGACCTTGGGCAAATCACTCCATCTCTCTGGGCCTTCTTTGCTTGTCTCTTCATTGAGGGGGTTGGATCAGATCAGCCTTTTGAAGATAGTGATTTTTAAGTAAGGGCACTAGCCTTTTTTCTCCAAAAGCCCTTAAACTTGGTGAGTTTCTGGCAGACAGTGCTGTAGGTGAAACTTGTAAAAACATTTTTCTTTGCTTGTTCAGTCTGAGTCTTGTTAGGCTGGTGCTAAAATGCGAATGTCTCTTTCAGGCATGGAGGGACCCTTTGGTGGTGGTATGGAAAACATGGGTCGATTTGGATCTGGGATGAACATGGGCAGAATAAATGGTAAGATTTGTGTTTCCTTCCTGCTTATACCTACCTTTGTTGGCTGTTGGCTCTCAGGTGACCTTTAGGCAGCAGACCCATTTTTAATAAGTGATTTCTCGCTTCCACTTCTGTACTGAATCTGATATTTTTGAATTGCCTTAAATAGTTTGCATTCCAGAAGCTAGACTTAGTGGTAGGGAAGTGTTAATTCTCTTAGTTACTAAATTCTTGAGGTTTTCTGTGTTTCAGATCTTCCCAATAATTGTCCAATAAAACTTTAAAGCTTTCCTGTTGCCTCCAGCACTTGTCTCCCCCGGAGTGCTGGACTGGGTGAGTTCTTGACCATCTGCTCTGATGTCTCCAAATTGTGAGCAGAGGCATTTGTTTAATTTAGCATTTATATAATGCAAAATTTGGCATACTATTATTTAAATCTTCCAGCCCTCCCAACTTAATAACCGAAATATAATTATATCACTTGTAGTAGTAACACTGTGTTATTTCATTTAGTCCTTGCAAGAACCGCATGACGTGTAGGTACTGTTATCCCCATTTCATTGGAAACTGAGGCCCACAGTGACTTGCCTAAGGTCCGATGGCTAGTAATGGTGGGATATGGACCCCGGCTGTCTGGCTCCAGAGCTTGGCTCTTAATCACACTGAGATCCTGCCTTTTAGAATTGCCTTCAGGCGCGTCACCCCAGCCCCAGCTCCCCCCCC